CTCGTCAGGATGACGCGACCCCGCGACGTGCATCAATGCCTTTCTTATCTCATGTTCCTTCCTCACCCACGGCTTTGACAGAGGATGCAATTCGAAAGGTTGAGGCGAAAGAATTTGAATTGGAATTGTATCGGAGTCGAAGTAAAATCAAACGAGGAGATGCACATATGTTGTCCGTTCCGTCAACGTCGCATAACAACATATTCAATGCTCGAGTATCTAAGGCATCGATTCGTATGAGTTTAAATACCAGAATGCAAAAACGATTGAATATTGCTTTAGAAATCATAAATACTGAGCGTCATTACGTGGAATGTTTATTGCTTGTGCAAAAAGTAGGAAATCATGTTCAATTTATTCGTATGGATTTTAAGATCACCCTCACTTGTAATTTAAAATTTTTCACACCATCATCGGTTTAGTTGTTCCTCGGCCCTCTTGTTGAATCGTTATCAACGGAAAATCCAATACTGACAAAAAGGTCTATCAACGAAATTTTTGCAAACCTACCTGATTTGATTAATGTCAATACCGAGTTGTTGAGAAGATTGGAAGAGAGAATTGCCGGTCCCATAAATGAAGACGAAGAAGACGATGTTGAATTTGAATTTTGGGATCCTGAAAGCGGAAAATTAGGAGACATTTTTTTGAATATGGTATTTTTTAGAATTTCGCATCCTTCTTTTAACAGACGAGTTTTTCGCGTCTCACGTAAGTCCTTGAAATTGAATAGGCCCCATTCTTTAAAATGTATTCGGTCTATGTAAAAAATTTCAATTCCGCCCTCGCCGTTATTGACGTTCAGCTGAGAGACAACCCACAGTTTTCTGAATTTTATAGGGTAATTACAGTCTCAATTTTTCTTTTCAGATACATCTACTGTATATTTGACTAACGAAAACTTCACAGAATGTAATTAAGACGGGACAATGCAAGGGATTAACATTGCAAGCCTACCTGATTATGCCAGTGCAGAGGATTCCTAGATACAGAATGTTACTAGAGGATCTATTAAAGAAAACGGCGGAAACCCACTCCGATTATCTTAATTTAAGAAAGGCGTATCAAGTGATTGAACACGTTGCCACGTTTGTCAATGAAACTATCCGTCAACACGAGATGTTCATAACGATGCTGGAGATTCAGAAATCTTTAATAGGGTTTGACGAAGCGTTGTTGATTCCTGGAAGGCGATTTATCAAAAGAGGAACAGTTAAGAAGGTAAAGAGTCATACGGGGAATTTTTATTGATTCAAGATTTTCTAGCTAAAATATTTTAAAAATAATGCAGATATGCCGTAGAAATCATCAACAGCGTGAATTCTTTTTATTTTCGGATGTATTAATTTATGCAAGGTAAGTCTGATGGTTACTGTACATACAGGCACATGCTTTTTTGGTTTGTTGATTTTACCATCAGTCACATTCTTCACTTCTCTGAATAGTCCGACATTGATAGACAATATGTATACATTTCATCGTAAGCTTGATCTAGAGGACGTAATGGTGCTAGGCGCAGATGACATTGATGGTGAATTACAATAATAATAATAATATATATATATTGTGCATGTTTCCCCGATATACCTATTTAATAATGTTGATGCGTTTTATATTTCGTTAAGATGAGAAAAATGCGTTTCAAATTCTTAGTCCTCGAAAAAGTTTCATAGTCTATGCAGGTAAGTAGTTTCCATCATGCAAATAACAGGGGTGGTTCTATTGCTAAGGAGCTTGACGCGTTTCCAGATACGCCCAAGGATAAAGATTCTTGGATTAGTGTAATCCGTGAGACAAAGGATGAATATTTAAGTGCCAAAAGGACTCTAAAGATTGGTATGATAATATTTGTCAATGTTGCGTCCTAAAAAAAAAAAAAAATTTTTAATGCGATTATTAAACGGTAGATGGCAGTTCATGGTTGGAAAGGAAGGATTCACATAAGAAAAGAGTCGTTGAGAGTTACCATGCACCTCTTTGGGTCCCTGATTCTAAGGCTGATAGGTGCATGAATTGTTCTGAAGAGTTTACCATCTTCCGAAGAAAGCATCATTGTCGCGCGTGCGGTAAGGTAGTTTGTCACGCCTGTTCTACAAGAGTGAGCATCATTTTACCTTTACCTTTACCTTTATTATTCCGTGATTAATTTTCTTGGATTATTCTACTGACTGATTTCTTTACAATCAACATTTGTAGAACTTTGTAATACCGGGTTCGAACGAGAATGAAGATCAAATGGCTCGTGCATGTGATCCTTGTTTCTTTACCATGTTTCCTGATGCCCTTCAGGACGAAGATCTAGCCCCTGGAATTCTTGTCTGGAAGCAAGCCGGTAAATAAAGTTCATATATGTTTGTTTGAATCTTCAAAGTATTTTACGTAACCATCGGTATTCCTGCAGGTGGTCATTCCAGAAATAGCTCGGAGACTAAAAGTAATAAATGTAGTGCATCGAACGCGGTATTGCCTCACGTAAGTTTTCCGTGATCAACAGAGGGGAGATGCTTAAAAAGTTGCATTTCTTTACTACTATTTTTTGCCAACACAATTAGTTCAAATCGATCCACGAAGCGATCGTAGCGAAACGTTGCGAATTGTGTTTAATAGATTTTAACATTTTTCGATGGCGCGTGAGTAAAAAC